CCGCTGCATTCTGGATGAGCTGCAGAGGTCGGATGGCACATGCAGGTAGACCAGCCAGGAGGGAGTTGCAGTAGTCTAGGCGTGAGATGACGAGAGCCTGGACCAGAACCTGAGTCGCTTTCTGAGTCAGCTGGGGACGTATCTTCCTGATGTTGTAAAGCGTGTATCTGCAGCAGCGGGTTGTAGCAGCGATGTTTGCAGTGAAGGACAGGTTGTTATCTAGGGTCACACCCAGATTCCTTGCAGTCTGAGTCGGGGAAACAACTGAGGTGCCGATGTTGATTGTCAGGTCAAGAGTTGGACAATCTTTTCCCGGGAGGAAGAGCAGCTCAGTCTTGTCAAGGTTGAGCTTGAGGTGGTGAGCAGACATCCACTGAGAGATGTCAGCTAGACAAGCAGAGATGCGTGCGACGACCTGGGTCTCTGAGCGGGGAAAGGACAGAATTAATTGGGTGTCGTCAGCGTAGCAGTGGTAAGAAAAACCATGCGGGCTAATGACTGATCCGAGCGAGTTTGTGTACAAGGAGAAGAGGAGGGGACCAAGAACAGAGCCCTGAGGGACCCCCGTAGTTAATTGACAAGGGTCGGACTCAGACCCTCTCCAAGTCACCCTGTAGGTACGGTCTTTCAGGTATGAGGTGAGGAGGGAAAGTGCAGAGCCAGAAACTCCAAGTTTTTGGAGAGTGCGAAGGAGGATCTGATGATTCACCGTGTCGAATGCAGCAGACAGGTCCAACAGTATGATGACAGAGGAGAGGGATGCAGTTTTGGCAGTGTGCAGTTCCTCCGTGACCGCAATGAGAGCAGTTTCTGTGGAGTGACCTGCCTTGAAACCAGACTGGTGCGGATCCAGAAGGTTGTTCTGATTGAGATAACAGGAGAGTTGTTTAAAGACAGCGCGTTCAAGTGATTTAGACAGGAACGGGAGGAGAGAGACAGGCCTGTAGTTTATAACATCAGACGGGTTGAGAGTGGGTTTCTTTAGGAGAGGGTTTACTCTTGCCTCCTTGAGACTGTTTGGAAAGTGACCAGAAGTTAGAGAAGTGTTGATGAAATGGGTGAGAAACGGTAGAATATCAGGAGCGATAGTCTGAAGGAGGTTTGAAGGGATAGGGTCCAGAGGACAGGTGGTAGGGCGGGCAGAGGTAATGAGGGTAAGAACCTCACTTGGAGAGAGAGGGGAAAAGGAGGTTAGTGTGTTGGTGGAAGGAGGGTCTGGTGACCCAGCGGTGAGTAGAGGTGAGTCAGAAAAAGAAGAGCGAATATCATCAACCTTTTTTTCAAAGTGGGTAACAAAGTCGCTTGACAGAAGTGAGGAGGGGGGAGGAGCTTTTGGAGGGTCCAAGAGGGTGGAGAAGATGGAAAATAGTTTTTTAGGATTGGAATAGGAAGATTGGATCTTATCTTGAAAGAAAGTGCTTTTTGCCTGAGAGATCGAAGCAGAGAAAGAGGAGAGGAGAGCTTGATAGGTTAGGAGGTCGTCACGGTGTTTGGATTTCCACCATTTCCGCTCTGCTGCCCTAAGGACGGTTCTATTAGCACGCAGTGCATCATTTAGCCAGGGAGCCGGAGGGGACTGACGAGCCTGCCGAGATGTCAGAGGACAGAGCGAGTCCAGAGTGGATGAGAGAGTAGAGAGGAGAGTTTCTGCAGCAGAGTTTGGAGGCAGTAGTTGGAACGAATCAGAGGAAGGGAGGGCTGAGAGCACCGACGAGGCAAAGGTAGAGGGAGAACATACCATACATACATACATCCATCCATCCATCCATCTTCTCCCGCTTATCCGTGGTCGGGTCGCGGGGGTAGCAGTTCCAGCAGAGAGCCCCAAACTTTCTTTTCCCTGGCGACGTCAACCAGCTCTGACTGGGGGATCCCAATGCGCTCCCAGGCCAGCGAAGAGATATAATCCCTCCACCTGGTCCTAGGTCTACCCCTTGGTCTCTTCCCAGCTGGACGTGCCTGGAACACCTCCCTAGGGAGGCGCCCAGGTGGCATCCTAACTAGGTGCCCGAACCACCTCAACTGGCTCCTTTCGACGCGAAGGAGGAGCGGCTCAACTCCGAGTCCCTCCCTGATGACCGAACTTCTCACCTTATCCCTAAGGGAGACACCAGCCACCCTGCGGAGAAAACCCATCTCGGCCGCTTGTATCCGCGATCTCGTTCTTTCGGTCATGACCCATCCTTCATGACCATAGGTGAGGGTAGGAACGAAAATGGCCCGGTAGACGGAGAGCTTTGCCTTCTGGCTCAGCTCCCTTTTCGTCACAACGGTGCGGTAAAGCGACTGCAGTACCGCTCCCGCTGCTCCGATTCTCCGGCCCATCTCACGCTCCATTGTTCCCTCACTCGAGAACAAGACCCCGAGATACTTGAACTCCTTCACTTGGGGTAAAGACTCATTCCCTACTTGAAGTGGACAGTCCATCGGTTTCCTGCTGAGAACCATGGCCTCTGATTTGGAGGTGCTGATCCTCATCCCAGCCGCTTCACACTCGGTTGCGAACCGATCCAGTGAGTGCTGAAGCCATTAGAACCACCCGGGGCTTTGCCACTGTGGAGTTGTTTGACGACCTCAGTGACCTCCCCCCGGGAGATTGGTGTTGATCCCCCGTCATACTCCAGCTCTGCCTCTAACATAGAGGGCGGAGTTGTCGGGTTCAGGAGTTCCTCAAAGTGTTCCTTCCAACGCCCTAACACTCCATCAGTTGAGGTCAACAACGTCCCATCCTTACTGTACACAGCTTGGATGGTTCCCTGCTTCCCCCTCCTGAGGTGTCGGACAGTTTTCCAGAACAACTTTGGTGCCGCCCGAAAGTCCTTCTCCATGTCTTCTCCGAACTTCTCCCACACCCGCTGCTTTGCCTCGGCCACGGATGAGGCTGCTGCCCTTCGGGCCTGTCGGTACCTTGCAACTGCCTCGGGAGTCCCCCGGGATAACAAATCCCTGAAGGCCTCCTTCTTCAGTCGGACGGCTTCCCTGACCACCGGTGTCCACCAGGAGGTTCGAGGGTTACCGCCCCTTGAGGCACCTAGGACCTTGAGACCACAGCTCCCCGCCGCGGCTTCGGCAATAGAGGCTTTGAACACCGACCACTCTGGTTCAATGTCCCCAACCTCCACAGGAATGCCCGAAAAGCTCCGCCGGAGGTGTGAGTTGAAGGCCTCCTGAACTTGGGCCTCCTCCAGACGTTCCCAGTTCACCCGAACTACACGTTTGGGCTTACCAGGTCTATCCAGAGGCTTCCCCCGCCACTCGACCCAACTCACCACCAGATGGTGATCAGTTGACAACTCCGCCCCTCTCTTTACCCGAGTGTCCAAAACATACGGCCTCAGGTCCGATGATACGATAACGAAATCGATCATGGACCTTCTGCCTAGGGTGCTCTGGTACCACGTACACTTATGAGCATTCTTATGTTCAAACATGGTGTTTGTTATGGCCAATCCATGACTAGCACAGAAGTCCAGTAACAAACCACCACTCCGGTTCAGATCAGGGGGGCCGTTCCTCCCAATCACGCCCCTCCAAGTGTCTCCATCATTGCCCACATGTGCGTTGAAGTCTCCCAGCAAGATTAAAGAGTCCCCTTCAGGAGCCCCATACAGGACTCTTTCCAGGGTCTCCAAGAAGGCCGTATACTCTGAACTGCTGTTGGGTGCATAAGCACACACAACAGTCAGAGTTTTCCCCCCCATAACCCGCAGGCGTAGGGAGGCGACCCTCTCGTCCACTGGGGTAAACTCCAACAACGAAGCACCTAACCGGGGACTTGTGAGTATCGCCACACCCGCCCGGCGCCTCACACCTTGAGCAACTCCGGAGAAGAATAGAGTCCAACCCCTATCCAGAAGTAAGGTTCCAGAGCGGACGCTGTGCGTAGAGGTGAGCCCAACCAGATCCAACTGGTAACGCTCCACCTCCCGCACAAGCTCCGGCTCCTTCCCCCCCAGAGAGGTGACGTTCCACGTCCCCAAAGCCAGCTTCTGTCGCCCGGGTCTGGTCCGTCGAGACCCTCCGCTTTCACTGCCACCCTTCTGGCAGCGCACCCGACCCCATCGATGTTTCCCGTAGGTGGTGGGCCCGCGGGACGGAGAAGCGGAGGTGTTGCCCACGTTGCCTTTTTGGGCTGGGCCCGGCCGGGCTCCGTGGCAAGCCCGGCCACCAGACGCTCGCCGACGAGTCCTCCTTCTGGGCCTGGCTCCAGAAGGGGACCCCGGGCTTCCTCCGGGCCGGGTATCCTCACTTCTTGTGTCGTCTTTCATGAGGTCTTTTGAACCAATCTTAGTCTGGCCCCTTGCCTGAGACCAATTTGCCATGGGAGACCCTACCAGGAACACAAGGTTCCAGACAACACAGCCCCCAGGTTCATCAGGGCACACAAACCTCTCTACCACGGTAAGGTGCTGGTTCTTCAGAGAGGCACATACCATGTTGTTCAAAATAAAATAGTCCCTCCGTTGCCTTCTGCACGAAACATAGTGCGAGGTGGTTGTGTGTATGTTGCCGTTTATTGTGCACCCACTGAAAAACTGTCCAGCGTCAGTAGAATGGCTTACGAGGTTACTTGTAGGTTGAGGTTGTTCTCTAGGCTGTTGCTTGGCGTTGCGAGAATATTGCTCCACTTTCTCCGGTCCCCGAGATTCGGCTTCCTGTAGCTCTGGAGAGAGCTATCGCTGAAGTTGGCTTCAGATTCAGAGCATGCGATTCGGCAGTTAAGGGGAAAGTTAAGGGACATTTAATTTACAGCGCTGAGCCAACAATCCTCCGTGTTTGAACCTCTTAAATCGCTGCATAGCCGATTTATTTGGACTGGATTATCCCAGAGACAATAAAAATTCTTTATAACACAGTTTTAGATTTGTGAAACCTTTATTCTATTTGTGAACATTTAAAAAAGGCAGATTTCAGTTTGTGTTTCGAACATTTCAAAAACACATTTCAATGTGTTTTTTTTTTTTATCTTTTATTATCAAAATTCACATATTTCTGCCGGTCTACATCAAAGACGAAGTGATTTTTGGGAAGCTGCTGGAGTGGGGAGTGGAGCCTGCTTCGCCCATCAGAAGGAGATTCCTGCCAGGAGAGGGGAGAGAGAGGATAGCGGACGGCACACGCATCCTGAAAGTCCGTTTCAATGACAAGGTCCGTTCCCTCCCATATTCTGCCAGGTTTGATGTCGAGGGGGGCATGGAATACTTCAAAATAATGCATGACAGACAGACACAGGTGTGCAGGCAGTGCCTCAAATCCACACACATTTATAGGGAATGCCCGGAAATAGTTTGCCACAGATGTAAGGGGTTGGGGCACTTTGCAAGGAACTGCGAGATGGGGAGAGAGAGACACACGGTGGAGGTCGAGCCCGCAGCTGAAGGTATCACGGGAGCAGATGGAGGAGAGAAGCAGGAAGCACCGAGAAGTGATGGGGAAGAGAAGCAGGCGGGAGGAGTAGAAGAGCCCGCTACAGATGTACAAACAGAGGGTGAGGAAGAGAGTGTGACGGGGTGCTCCAACGATGAAAAGGAAGTGATGAGAGAGCTGCATGGGGAAAACGGAGATGGGCGGAAGAGCGGTACGGGAGAGGATGGAGGTGAAGGAGGTGCTGGAGTGATGGAGGAGAAGGAGGGACCAGCTGAAGACACGTCAAAGGCAAGCATGAGTAAAAAAAGAAAGAAGAAAAACAAAATAAAAGAAAGCAATGCAGGAGAATATAAAAAGGAGGACGTTGGAAGTGAAAGCGGAGATAATGGAGGAAGAGGAGAAACAGGAAGCGACGAAACATCGGAGCCTGATGGGAAGAGGAGCTATGCTGGGTCTAAGGAGAAAAATGAAGGAACGCCGGTGGAGGAGCAGTCTGGGAACGTGAAGGTGGAGAAGGGTCCTGATGACGGTGAACGAGTCTCCAAAGATGTGAGTGCGGAGGCGGCGAAGACGGCATTGAGGCATGAGAAACGACAGATGGACATTCTACGGGGTGAGGCTAAATTGAAATGACTTTAATAATGATGTATCTCCTTTTTCTCCTTATAATGGTGACAATATCATCATTTAATGGACATGGGCTAAAACAGACGGACAGAAGGGACAGGGCTATCATGCTGTGTGCCACTGACATTGTTTGCTTCCAAGAAACGCACTGGAATGATAGGTGTGTGGATGATGTGAAAAAGAGTTGGTTTGGTGATGTATATGTGAGTAACGGGGGTACGAATGCTAGAGGGGTGGCGATTCTAATTAAGACAGGGGTGGTGGAGAATGTGAGTAAAGTGGAAGATGATGGTGATGGAAGAATGATTGGTGTAATGTTTGATTATATGGGAGAAACATATAAACTCATCAATATATATGCACCAAATGATGAAAGGGAGAGAAAAGGTTTTTTTGAGGGCTTAGAAGGGAAGTGTGGGGGGAACTGTATGATTGTGGGGGATTTCAATGTGTGGTGTGGGAAAATAGATGTGTCTGTGGGGATGCGCTTCAAAAGTGACTCTTCACGTGGTGCATTGAAAAAGGTTATGAGGGAGAATGGAATGAGTGATATATGGAGAGAGAAGAACGCAAATGAAAGGGTGTTTTCGAGGAAACAGGTGGTAGAAGGGGTGCTCAAGCAAAGCAGGATAGATCTATTAATTTGTAAGGCGAGCATGGGGGGGAAAATTGGGGATATTGAACACAGAACCGCTGCCATGAGTGATCACACGATTCTGTGCTTTAGTTTCACTGAGGGTTGTAGAGGGAAAGGGGGGGGGAATTTGGTGTTTGAACGGGATGCTATTAAAAGAACAGGGATATAAAACTAAAGTCAATGAATGCATTTTGAAGCAGGGTAGTAGGGAAGGAGTGGATGTGGCAGTGTGGTGGGAGGAGTTAAAAAGAGACATAAAAAAAATGAGTATAAAGTATAGCAGTGGGAGGAATAAAAGAGAGAGAGAGAGGGAGGAAAAAGTGAGGAGAGAGCTGGAGAGGGAGGCAGAGAAGATAGATGCAGAGATAGGGAGAGATATAGGAAATTACACTAGACTTAAAGATGAGATGGGTCAGATAGAAAAGGGCAAGTGCATGGGAGCAATCATAAGGAGCAGGGCGGAGTACTTAGTTGAAGGGGAGAAGAGCACTGGTTTCTTCCTGGGAATGGAGAAAAGGAAGCAAGGGAAGAATTTTATTAAGCAGATAGAGGGAAAAGGGGGAGAAACGATCACAGAGTTAGTAGGGATAGCCAGCAGGGTAGAGGAATTCTAAAAGGATTTATTTAAAGAGGAGGTGAACGATGAGAGGAGCTTGGAAATGACCATAGGCAGCATGGATAAGAGCCTGAGTACTGAGGGGAGAGACATGTGTGAGGGGGAAATAGGGGAAGGGGAGATTGAAAATGCCATAAAAGGAATAGGGAGAAATAAAAGTCCAGGGCTGGATGGTTTGACAGCAGAATTTTATATTGAGTTCAAGGACATTTTGGTGCCCATACTACATGAGCTGTTTAAGCAGCTAGAAGAGAGGGAGGAATTGCCGGCTGACCTTTCAACAGGGGTCATCAGTATTCTATATAAGAAGGGGTGTAGGGACAAATTGGAGAACTATAGGCCTTTGAGTATGCTAAACACTGATTATAAAATTCTGGCACGGGTATTATCGAACAGGTTAAAGAAAGTGATTGGGACGGTAGTGGGGTGCACACAGGCCTACAGCATACCAGGGAGGGACATCAGCGACACAGTGAGTAGTATTAGGGACACTATTGCACACATGAAGGGGGGGAAAGGTGGGATAGTTGTCAGTTTAGATCTAAACAAAGCGTTTGACAGGGTTAATCATTCATATTTATTTAAGGTTTTAGAGAGAGCAGGATTCGGGAAGGGATTTATTGGATGGGTAAAGAGGATATATGCAGGGGCGGTTAGTTGTGTCAAAGTCAATGGGATCATCACAAATGTTTTCAGACTGGGGAGGTCAGTCCGGCAAGGGTGCCCTCTCTCTGCCATGCTTTATGCGCTATCAGCAGAGCCGCTTGCCACTCTGTTACAGAATAACGAGATGGTGAGAGGGATAGAAGTACCAGGAGGAGGAATGAGTCTGCTGTATCAGTATGCTGACGACACCACTTTAACAGTGAGGGACATGGTGAGCATAAAGGGGATTCTTGATAGCTTACTTATATATGGAGGGGCGTCAGGGGCTAAGGTCAATGTGGACAAATCAGAGTACATGGTGCTAGGAGGGGTGACTGTAGGAAGAACAGATTTGGGGCTAAAAGAAAACAAGGACTATTTCACAGTGCTTGGGATAAATGTAGGGATAAAGGACAAGGAGGGCAGAGACATCCAGTATGAAAGAATCACAGAGAGCATAAGGAAAACGCTGACCTTTTGGAAAAGAAGGAAGCTCAAATTGAGAGGGAAAATTATAGTAGTGAACGGGCTGATTATGAGCAAACTGGTTTATGTGTTGAACGTTCTGGAGGTTCCTGAGAGGGTACTGAAAGAAATAGACAAAATAATAAGTGAGTTCTTATGGGATGGGAGGGGAGTGAAGATAGCAAAGGAAGTCTTGGAGAATGGTTACAAAGATGGGGGATTGAAGCTAATTAACTTAGACAGGAAGTTAAAAGCAAGTAGGGTCAAGAGGATGATAGGATACCTGAGCATTAATAATGACCAACTATGGAAGGTCTTTCTTGGGGATGCTCTGAGCAAGTGTGGAGGGTGTGGTGACAGTGTGATTTATATGAAGATGGGGAAAGGGAGAATGAACGGCATGAGTGAGTTTCAAAAGGAGGTTTTGAGTGCATGGGGTGAGTTTTTGCCAAATGTGAGGTACGAGTGCGTGAATGTGAGGCAAGTGTGGAACCAGCCTATCTTCCTAAATCCTAGGATTAAGGGTGAAAAAGGTTCAATCTTCAATTTGCCAATGTGGAGGACGGGTTTCAGAACAGTGAAGGATCTGGTCTACGAGTATGTCCCTGGGTTCATGAGGTCGCAGGTCATCGTGGACGAGGTGAGGGAAAGGGATTTAGTGATGGGATTGAGGACAGCTGAGAACGTGATGGATAGCATAAAGGAAGGGATGCCGGATGAATGGAGAAGGAGGATTGAGTGGGAACAGGCGGGAAGCGATGAGAGCAGGGTTGAACTATATGTAGGAACGGGGGAAAAAACAATCACCCTGGGGAAAATAACAACGAAAGGTATTTATGACATGATGAGAAAAGACTGTGTAAGGAGACCAGCCGCTGAGAAAGTGTGGGAGAAAGTCGTGTGTGAGATGGATGTGAGGAAAATGTGGGTGAACTTAAGGGTGAAGGGAAATAGCCCCGAATGTGAACATTTTGACTTCTTATTACGACACAATAGAGTGTTTAATAACTTAATTGTGAGCATGTTTGATAAAGAGGTAAAGAGGGAATGTGATGTGTGTAAAGTGGGTGTAGAGAACTGTATGCATGAGTTTGTGGAATGCAGTGAATTGAGGGGATTCTTTGAAAGAATGAAAGACATGTTGTACAGGTGTTGGGATGAAAAGGAAATAAAGACGAGGGACTGGAAGGAACTGTGGTTATTTGGATGGAGGGGGAGAATGTGTGGATACAATGTTAACCTGCTGAACCTTGTATTAAGCCATGCCAGATATGCTGTAAAGCTAAGACGGAATGTGGCTCATTTTGAGGGGAAAATCGTCAGTGTCTGGGACCTGATGGTGGGGACAATAAAGAGAGACATCAGACTTTTGTACATATATATGAGAAAAGAAGAGTTTACAGAGGAATATGTGGAAGGATGTTCATTGATTGAAGAGGAGGAGGGGAAGTTACATTTTCACTTTGTGATGCAATAAAGAATGTTTTTGTTTTTTGATGATGCTGGATCCTTGTAAAAGGGGATCCTTGTTGTAAAAAGAAAATGTGATAAACTGTAAATATGTGAATTTTGATAATAAAAGATAAAAAAAACAAAACACGCCGGATCTCGTCCGATCTCGGAAGCTAAGCAGGGTCGGGCCGGGTCAGTACTTGGATGGGAGACCGCCTGGGAATACCCGGTGCCGTAAGCTTTTACTTTATTCCTTTGTCAGCACACGGCGCTGCCCTTTCAATTGACACAGCAGTACACAGACTGAGGAGGACAATGCGCAGTTAACTATTGCTCTAATAGACCATTTGCTCAAATATTCATATTTTAACAACTATTTCAATGTCAAACTAAAAAAGGACCACTGTCAATAAACAGGGTGTAGGGGGCGGCTTCGGAGAGAAGCAGTGCCGTGAGTGGCTCTGTCCTTTGTGATGCTGTGACTTAGCTCCAATCTCACAATGGAAATGGAATATCACCAGTGGCGTTTTTATATGTACAAAAGTGGTGGGCCACACAAAACTTAGATGTCTATATATAAGCTTCTGCAGTGAGGTTCATGGCTGGTGAGGCTCTGACTCTTCAGGTTTACAAATATTATATTTTGACCTAAATCAAAATATAATATTATTTTCAAAAGCTTTTTTTGTCTGATGCTTCAATTCATTTTAAACAGACAGTTCAACAAAAGGATACCCAAAAATGTAATTTTATCATTTAAATATTGAATTGTTCTCTCTTAGTAAGATCCCATTTTCAATCAAATTGCAGTCTTACCTTGACATGAAGATGAAGTCCATTTGCCTATCCTTCTGGACAAAAATCTCTATTACTTTTTTGTAAAAGTCCTCCTTATGTTCTTGTAGTTTCAAAAGTCTATCATAAATCTGATCTAATCAATAGATTTATGATTCGAAAATTATAAAAGTAGGGTAGACATGTGGATATTATCCGGCTGAACAAAACGTGCATTTATCTAACAGGTTTGTTTCCCACAGATCTTATTTGGAGCTATTTTCTAAAATCCTATGGAGAAATATCATTGTTTTTTTGTGGAGGGAAGCCATGCGCAGTTTATTTCCGGGTTTGAGGACGCCTCACTGCAGCTCTCTCTCCTCCTCTTCACACACCACACTTTTCGCGGCACACGTACTTACAGCCAATCAGCTCTGAATGATGTGAGATGACGTATGGTGGGGATGGCAGCACTATGCCCATTATTTTTTTGCCACACACATTAAATAGGACAATACTCTGAGCATGCGCAGTGTAGTTTTTACAGTCACCATTGACTTAAACAGGGAGAGGGAGGGGCAGGATCGGGTTTTGTCCCACATGGCTCAAAACAGCTCAATAGGCACACACTGTAGACACTAATTAGAAGAACACAGACTAAAACAGCAATGTACAGACGAATCAGATGATTAAACATGATCTTAAAATATATTTTATAATGTATTTTTTGCATTTTTTTGTAATCATTACTTTTAATACTTTCTGCTGACACTAGGTGGGGCTGTGCCGCACCTGCCCCTAATGACCAGTCGCCACTGAATATCACCATTGGATTTATAGCTGCTTAAACACCGCTGATAACGCAGCCTTCTTCCACAGGTAAAATCCAATGTATCCTCTTTTACTCAAGCTTGGAGCCTAAACTACGGGCAAGAGAAAGATTTGAAATATGATCATTTCAAGTACAGACAAGTTTAAAAAAAGTACAACCAAAATCAATACACTGAGCAAAAGCGCCCAGAAAGGGATGAAAGGTCCTTAGCTTAGTTCCCCCTTTCAGAAGAGACCACGGTTTGGGCGGATGTTACTTAAATGGCAGCCGATTCCAGCACTTTGCAACAAGAAAAAAGCTTGAATTGAACTTTCAGCCAAACACCAAACAAGCGTTCACAGCAAGACTGAGACGCCGTATTTGATATGAATGCAGCATTGTTGATAAAAGTCATGATTGAAGAGCACCACTTTTTGTGTTTTGCAAAATGTCCACGCAATGTGCCAGCAAACATGGAGCTTCAAACAGGTGATTTCCAGGAGTGAAAGAGGATCCATTGTATTTGAGCTGTACGTGAGAAGGTGGAGGGTTATCAGCGGCGGCGTTTGAGCAGCTATAAATAGCATGTGTGCCGATTGAATTTTCGTTTACGGCCATACCACCCTGAACACGCCCGATTATATTGAGTTCAAGGACATTTTGGTGCCCATACTACATGAGCTGTTTAAGCAGCTAGAAGAGAGGGAGGAATTGCCGGCTGACCTTTCAACAGGGGTCATCAGTATTCTATATAAGAAGGGGTGTAGGGACAAATTGGAGAACTATAGGCCTTTGAGTATGCTAAACACTGATTATAAAATTCTGGCACGGGTATTATCGAACAGGTTAAAGAAAGTGATTGGGACGGTAGTGGGGTGCACACAGGCCTACAGCATACCAGGGAGGGACATTAGCGACACAGTGAGTAGTATAAGGGACACTATTGCACACATGAAGGGGGGGAAAGGTGGGATAGTTGTCAGTTTAGATCTAAACAAAGCTTTTGACAGGGTTAATCATTCATATTTATTTAAGGTTTTAGAGAGAGCAGGATTCGGGAAGGGATTTATTGGATGGATAAAGAGGATATATGCAGGGGCGGTTAGTTGTGTCAAAGTCAATGGGATCATCACAAATGTTTTCAGACTGGGGAGGTCAGTCCGGCAAGGGTGCCCTCTCTCTGCCATGCTTTATGCGCTATCAGCAGAGCCGCTTGCCACTCTGTTACAGGATAACGAGATGGTGAGAGGGATAGAAGTACCAGGAGGAGGAATGAGTCTGCTGTATCAGTATGCTGACGACACCACTTTAACAGTGAGGGACATGGTGAGCATAAAGGGGATTCTTGATAGCCTACTTGTATATGGAGGGGCGTCAGGGGCTAAGGTCAATGTGGACAAATCAGAGTACATGGTGCTAGGAGGGATGACTGTAGGAAGAACAGATTTGGGGCTAAAAGAAAACAAGGACTATTTCACAGTGCTTGGGATAAATGTAGGGATAAAGGACAAGGAGGGCAGAGACATCCAGTATGAAAGAATCACAGAGAGCATAAGGAAAACGCTGACCTTTTGGAAAAGAAGGAAGCTCAAATTGAGAGGGAAAATTATAGTAGTGAACGGGCTGATTATGAGCAAACTGGTTTATGTGTTGAACGTTCTGGAGGTTCCTGAGAGGGTACTGAAAGAAATAGACAAAATAATAAGTGAGTTCTTATGGGATGGGAGGGGAGTGAAGATAGCAAAGGAAGTCTTGGAGAATGGTTACAAAGATGGGGGATTGAAGCTAATTAACTTAGACAGGAAGTTAAAAGCAAGTAGGGTCAAGAGGATGATAGGATACCTGAGCATTAACAATGACCAACTATGGAAGGTCTTTCTTGGGGATGCTCTGAGCAAGTGTGGAGGGTGTGGTGACAGTGTGATCTATATGAAGATGGGGAAAGGGAGAATGAACGGCATGAGTGAGTTTCAAAAGGAGGTTTTGAGTGCATGGGGTGAGTTTTTGCCAAATGTGAGGTACGAGTGCGTGAATGTGAGGCAAGTGTGGAACCAGCCTATCTTCCTAAATCCTAGGATTAAGGGTGAGAAAGGGTTAATTTTCAATTTGCCAATGTGGAGGGCGGGCTTCAGAACAGTGAAGGATCTGGTCTACGAGTATGTCCCTGGGTTCATGAGGTCGCAGGTCATCGTGGACGAGGTGAGGGAAAGGGATTTAGTGATGGGATTGAGGACAGCTGAGAACGTGATGGATAGCATAAAGGAAGGGATGCCGGATGAATGGAGAAGGAGGATTGAGTGGGAACAGGCGGGAAGCGATGAGAGCAGGGTTGAACTATATGTAGGAACGGGGGAAAAAAACAATCACCCTGGGGAAAATAACAACGAAAGGCATTTATGACATGATGAGAAAAGACTGTGTAAGGAGACCAGCCGCTGAGAAAGTGTGGGAGAAAGTCGTGTGTGAGATGGATGTGAGGAAAATGTGGGTGAACTTAAGGGTGAAGGGAAATAGCCCCGAATGTGAACATTTTGACTTCTTATTACGACACAATAGAGTGTTTAATAACTTAATTGTGAGCATGTTTGACAAAGAGGTAAAGAGGGAATGTGATGTGTGTAAAGTGGGTGTAGAGAACTGTATGCATGAGTTTGTGGAATGCAGTGAATTGAGGGGATTCTTTGAAAGAATGAAAGACATGTTGTACAGGTGTTGGGATGAAAAGGAAATAAAGACGAGGGACTGGAAGGAACTGTGGTTATTTGGATGGAGGGGGAGAATGTGTGGATACAATGTTAACCTGCTGAACCTTGTTTTAAGCCATGCCAGATATGCTGTAAAGCTAAGAAGGAATGTGGCTCATTTTGAGGGAAACATCGTCAGTGTCTGGGACCTGATGGTGGGGACAATACAGAGAGACATCAGACTTTTGTACATATATATGAGAAAAGAAGAGTTTATAGAGGAATATGTGGAAGGATGTTCATTGATCGAAGAGGAGGAGGGGAAGTTACATTTTTCACTTTGTGATGCAATAAAGAATGTTTTTGTTTTTTGATGATGTTGGATCCTTGTAAAAGGGGATCCTTGTTGTAAAAAGAAAATGTGATAAACTGTAAATATGTGAATTTTGATAATAAAAGATAAAAAAAAAAAAAAACACGCCCGATCTCGTCCGATCTCGGAAGCTAAGCAGGGTCGGGCCGGGTCAGTACTTGGATGGGAGACCGCCTGGGAATACCCGGTGCCGTAAGCTTTTACTTTATTCCTTTGTCAGCACACGGCGCTGCCCTTTCAATTGACACAGCTGTACACAGACTGAGGAGGACAATGCGCAGTTAACTATTGCTCTAATAGACCATTTGCTCAAATATTCATATTTTAACAACTATTTCAATGTCAAACTAAAAAAGGACCACTGTCAATCAACAGGGTGTAGGGGGCGGCTTCGGAGAGAAGCAGTGCCGTGAGTGGCTCTGTCCTTTGTGATGCTGTGACTTAGCTCCAATATCACAATGGAAATGGAATCACATGTATAATAAGAACTGGATACAG